TGCTGCCTCTTTGTCTGCTATTTGTCACCAGTCTCCTCTGTTTAGACTATAAACTGTTTGGGGCAGGAAGTGTCTTTTACTCTTTGCTTGCACAGCAACGCCTGGATCTCAGCTAGAGGCCTCTAGGCTCTGCTCTAATGTAAATACTAAATAATGGCAGTCCCAGAGGATGTAGCCCCCACCCCACTTGAAGGCCCGCCAGGCTGCAAGGCTTGTTCTAGCAGCAGACATGCCAGCAGGGAAAAGTGACAAATTCTGTTGGGGAAAGATATTCATAGGTCTACCAGGGATAAGAAACACCCGCCTCTAGAAACAGAGGCTTATGTCTCCCTGAGGATAAACACACCCAAGATTGACTCATGCTGGCATAATCCCCTTGTGCAATTTGTATACTGGCGTTAGATGTGTGTGAGGCAAAAAGACAAATATTTGGTTAATAAAACAACACAGGGATAATAAAAAATAATTAGGCAGTTTTACCTCTGGAAACACTGCAGCAGGTGGGGTTTTGCTCATCCCTTCAGACAGGCACACCCCTCCCTGCGAGCAGAGCTTCCTTGTGCTTGATTTGTCTGCAGCAAGACAACCAGTTCATTCGGTTAAATGTTATAAGGGTAAAAATAATAAATAAATAAATGAATAAATAAGTAAGTAAACAAAGTCCTGGAGCCCTCAGTCTGGCAAGGGAGGGGGTATACACTGTGGTGGAAAAAGCAGGCTCATGTTCCACAAGAGAGCTTTGTCAAGTGTATTGCATAAGGAGATTACAGCCCTGAGACTGAAATGCAGCTGAAGGTTTGAGTTGCTGCTACCTCTGTCATTAGCACTCTGCTGAGCTGCATCACAACAGCCCTTCTTTCACCTCTGTGAACAAGGCTCGATGTCCGTCATTACGTTTTCCAGCACTGTTACTGCACATGGCTATTAGCTTCATTCCCCAAGCTCGCTCTTGTTGTTGTTTTAAATAAAGGGAAAGGAGTTGGACAGGTTAATCATCTGTTCACATTATACCCTGTGCTTCTGGATTTCTTTGATGTGACAGGCCTGTGGAGAGGACATGAGTCCAGATTCTGCTGTACACGCCCTGTGTAAGGCTCATCCTGTGCTCGAGGTTTTGGTAATGTAGTTATGTTGAGTAGCAAAATGAGAAAATACTCCTCACAGCCCAGTGTGCCATACTTCTGTCAGCAAAACCCTGACTCAGTGCCAGTTCTTCTGTCAAAAAGGAAAAAGATACAAACTTCTGATGCAGCCTCTTCTGTGTGGAAAGAGATTTTACCGCCAGTTCTCATATTGTTCTGTGGGAGGCCTCATTTCCAGTTCTGCAACCCTTCTTCCACATATTTATATGCAATGCCTCAGAAGTGGGCTGACCATGTACATTTCTCAAGCAATTTACGATGTCTCTCATCACACACTTAGCAAGAAGGCTGTTCTAGTCTCAGCAGGGCCTGCTGGATAATCCACATCCCTTTCCATGGGAGGAGCAGGACCACGAAGACCACTAGATCCAATATCTGCATTCTTCCCAAGATTCCTTCGCGCATCTGATGTAGCTGTGTCCCTCCACTGCATTAGTGCAGCATCAACCCAAATGCATCTGATTGGCATCGCCTGTTGAGTTCCTTCATAAGAGGTGGAATTCTGCAAGTAACTGCTTGGGAGTCCTGGTATTCTTCCTTGGCTCACAGCCTGCTCTTGCTCTACTGAGACCAGGTCTATGGAAAGCCTGCAGGTAGTCTAAAAGGAAACTTGCAACATTATTGTGAATATTTAGAAACTCAAACCTCTCCTCTGCAAAAAAAACAGCTCAGCTGTAGTTCACTGCAGTGATGGTAGTAGAAAGGACACTTTATTCACCTATCAATCATTCTAGCTCTTGATGACTTGAGAATTAATCTGCAGGAGGAAAAGCAAACACAGATCTTTTGTTCCTTCCGATTCTAAGGCCTTTGAAATCAGTGTCTTCCCAGTCAGTAAATTTTGGATTAGGTCCTTGTTCCGCCTTCCTTTCCTCTGTCCCTATAGTACCATGAAAATTCAGGCTGTTTCTCTTGACTTCCTTCCTCTTCATAAAATGTCTAATAATCAGCCATCTGGTGTCCAAGATGCCTTGAGTATTAGGGCATTTCCTTTATCCAGGGGAGGCTTGTGAGAAGAAAGATAAATGTGCTTGTGACCCATCCCTGCTGTGTGCTGATTAGGGTCTGGCATTTTTCCTTTGTTCCCAATGAGTTCTGTAGTGCTACGTTGTTTGGTAGAGAAACATATTGAAAAGAAGAATCTTAGTTTCTTAGCAGATTTCATGACATTACTTAAGTATTAATTAGATTCTGTAAAACAGTATCATAGTTGTAATATATATCAAAGACAGAGTGAGATTTTGAAGGGAAGATATATAGAAAATAGTGTGTATTCTAAAGAAGTGCAGTCTGGATTCATTCTCATTTTAATTCTGTCTTACAGTGACACCCTATTTTTCAGAACTAGCTAAAAATCTTAACCCTTTCCTTTCATTCAGTGTTGCAGAATGCAGCAGAGACACGGCTGCAATACAAGCTGTGCGCAGGGCTCTGCTCAAGTTAGTGCAGTCCCTGGGGAACAAGGGTTCTGTGTACCATGCTGTGGAAAACTTGGTCAGGTCTCAAGGTAGCCAGTGGATTGAGATTCAAGTTTCAGAGGACAACATTGAAGGGCAAGAGAAACTGTGGCAGAGCATCCACTGGACCACTGCATTTTATTTGAAACAAAGCCTGGGGGGAGAGGGCAGGTCAGATTGAAATGAAAACAAAAGCAGCAGGAAGATTCTGTGGCTCATAAATAGAAGACAAAGAAAAGTACCACCCCTTTTATTCTTTGATAACTTGTAGGCCAAATTCTTGACATAAAGGAGGTTTGTGTCTTGGTTTGTGAGCCCTTGCAAGTTCCGAAGTTTTTGTTGCCTTGACTGTGGTAGCACAAGAGATGCCAATAAGGGACTGTTTGTATTCACACAGTGAGACTCCCTTCCCATCAGGGTGTAGACAGTCACTAAACCTTTGTACCAGGAGTCTTCACTTGATGGTATGTTTATAAATAGTGAATGTTGGTCAAACAGGAGTTTGTCAGGTGGAAGAGAAGTAAGAATAGATGTCCTTAAACTACTCTGAGGTTATTTCTGTATACCTGAGTTCCCAGCAAACAAATATTTCTAACTTTTTTTTTTTTTCTTTTCAAAATCACCTTTAAGTGCATGTGCTATCCAAATTCCTGCTGGAACTCTGCATACAGCTCAGACTGTGGATCATGGTACTCATACCATACTTAAGCTATTTAGTGCATCCATGAATTAACGAGCTAATAACCAGCATGAGTGCAAGAAGTAATAAGATAAACTAAACTTTCTGTGCAAGACTAAGCAAATCTTCCTTCAAATGCAAACATTTGTGTCAGTCACTGTAAAGAGCCAGAGTTTCATGCATGTACTTAACTTCTCACACAGCATATAGTCACTGCCCAAACTACCCACCAAGCCCAAATGTACATGCAAATGAATGTTTTCCCAATGATGCTACAGAAAATAGTGAGCCACATACTCTGCAAGTCCACCCCAACACAGTAAAAGTTGTTACAAAATCCAATGGGCATCATTTTTACATTAACATTTGACTTAAGTTCCTTATTTTGAAGCATACCATGGTACAAATGCTCTCCATTTTGATCCTGTGGTTATAATGTATGGTATTCCTAAACATGCAGTCATAATAGTCAGAATGAAGTCTTGAAGAATCGACCATTTCAGACAAATAGAGGCAGTATAAAACCATACACGCAGAAGGCTGAGTTCTGATCCATTTGTTGTCAAAAAGCTTTTGAGCTGCTTGTGCTGACACTTTTACTAACCTTTGCCTACAACAGGCACTAGCAGACACTGTTAGTTATATTTATGGTTGATCATTTTTAGCACTTTGTGGTCCTGCTTCAGTGCACTGGAACATTCTGGGGAGGCAGGATGGGTAAGGTCTAAACAATCTGAAGCCCTGGGGTGTAAAACTGAGCTGCACAGTGTTACCTTATAGCTCCTGATGCTGGCCCTGACTCAGCCAAGATTTTTAAACACAAGCTGTTGTGCTAGTGTCAGGCTTGGAGCTACATCTCTGGGACTTGCTGAATCAGGGCACATACATAACAAGGTGATTTAGGAATCCAGCTCTGAACTGATTCTCATTTTGCAGTGGTCAAGCTTTTATTCCTGAGCTGTGTAGGCACCCTGCAGTCCCACTGCAAACTTGGTGCTGCAGTCCTGCTCTTCTGCCTGCTTCCTAGAGCATAGCCTGCTGCTGGGGCTCCTCCAGGTACCTGGGGTGGGTGGCATTGCTCTGATTTTAGAAAATCTCCTTAGACAGAAAGTGCTGGAAAGCACAGCCTGGCTCACTACCCTATTTCTGTCAGGAGCTGCTAGGCTGGTAGGGCTCAGCTGCCCCAGTTCTGCACAAAGACACATCTAAGTCTGCTGATAATGGTCATGGCCAGTTCTGGTCAGCATTTGACTTCAGTCTCTTGGTTTTCTTCTTGGTTTTCTCTTCTTCCTTAGTTTCCACCACAATCACTGACTTTCTCAATAACACCATCTCTGGAAATGGGTTGCACCGGAAGCAAGATAAGCAGAACATGAATGCTGGCAGGAGCTGAGCCAAAGGCTGAAAATTCTGGCTCTCACCCACAGCACCAAATAGGAAGCCCTTTGCATTCATGGCAGACAAATGTACAGGAAAGGATAAAATAAACCCTTACCACTTTCCCTTATATTTGAGCTTTTTCCTGATCCAGCAGCTCACATGTTTCTTTACCTCTGCTCTCACTGCAAAACTGAAGAACTGAGGCAGCTGAGCAGCAGTCAGCTTGCCCTGGCTCCTGTCTGCTCGTGCAGTTCACAAGGAAAAAGTCCCCATTGTTTTCTGGTGGGCAGAATTGCCTGACAAGACCTGAACACTTGATCACAATAAGGACAGAGGTCTCAGTGCAGGAAAGTGGTTTTATTCAGGACATTGCATAAGCATAGACTTAATTTTAAGTCCATACTTAAGTGCTCCAGCAGTCAATATGACAGACACATTTACACTGAAGTCAAATTGGTATCTGATTTGAATTGCTGCTCTTTGGGCTTTGCCTATGCACTGCCTTGGAAGGCAGCACAAACCAGCACAAGCATCATTATTTGGCTAACTCAGAGCTTCTTGTAGTGCATTTTCTCACTCTGGATGATCTCACTCTGCTCATGGAAGAAAGGAAGAAGAAACCCAGCTTTTGCCACTGGAATGATCTCTGTGCACCCCAAACTGCAAGTTATTTTCATTAGAAGAAGAGATGAAAAAGCTAACACAAAAGACTTTGTACTTCCACAGGGCACTGGTTTTTCAGTCTGTAAGTAGCTGTGTAGGTCCAGTTCAGAACCAGGGGAGAAACTCCCTTGACTTCAGTTAGCTCATGGTCAGGTTGTGAGCAGAAGCCGCAAGGCTGAATGACCTGCTTATCACTAGAAGAAGATGATTCACAGCCTCTGACTGAGAAGTCAGGAATTTGAACTGCAGGTCCTGAAATTGGTGCCACTCTATTTTCTGAGCATACTGGCAGGGGAGAGAAAAATCTCTTTCAAAGCAAACACCTGTAAAAAAAAACAGAAAGGAATTGCCTTAAGAAAAAAAAACCTTTTTCTTGTCTCCCATGTGGTGTGTTCTATGGGAGCTTGGACACTCATCTGGAGGAGGGGAGAGGGAACTTTTAGTCTTAGCTTGATACCATGAAGAGGCAGTTGGAAAGTTGGATCTGCCTGTGCTTGGGGATGACAACCAGTTTACACAGACCTCTGCCTCTCTGGAATGCTGTCTCTCGACACACACACTGATAACAACCCCCCAGTGTCAGGAAGTAATACCAGCACATCCTCTTTGCAAAGCTATCTAAAAACACAGGGAGGAATTTGTTTCTGGCTGGAGTGACACCAGTCCTACAACAGCCATCTGCATGCCTCTCCTGCTTCCTTCCTTGTTTTTATTCTCTACTCTTTTTATAGCCAATACCTTTCCAAGCACAACACAGGAGATTCTGAGTTGCCAACTCTCATGGTTTCTGGTCATTTGCATTACACTAATGTGACATATTTGCAGCAGCCCTCCTCCTATAGAATTTACCAATACCACTGGAGTAACCCAAAGCATAAGCACTAAGCCATGAGGGGAAGGTGGCAGCCTACAAGGGATCAAATAGAGCAGCATGGTGGGTCAGTTCACTAGCGTGGTGTCTCTCACATTGCAGGTGCTCATGTTTCCACCATTTGATGCAGTTTTCTGTTTGTTCTTTGCTTAATTTAATCCCCCTTTTCCCTATGAATAAAGTCACAGTTAAAGGGAAAGGAGATGCTGGCACAAAGCAGTGTGTTGTGTTTCTTTCCCATGGGAAAGTCCTGTTAAATAAAAATTGAGAAAGGCTTTCAAAACCAACAGATTCATCCTAGTAAATCTGTCTCCTCTTTGTGTCAGAATATGCTTTTATGTGTGAAGAACTAAGGGAAAACTTTATTTTGTCAGCGAAAGGAAAGCCCGTGACTGTAGCTTGGGGGTTATTGAGAGTACGTCTTTCCATTACTTCAGCTTCCAGTCAGTATAATCAGGATTTCAGAAGGGAATGATGGGCCTGTGATTGAGATACTGAGACTGGACCAGTCTGCTTCAGTTCCTGGCTCTTTCAGAAAGCATAGCTGCAGGCAGAGCATCTAATCTGCCTACCTCCTCCCTGAAGTAGAGATGATCATGTTTCTTCTATCTATTTAAACAGTATATAGAGCAACTAGGATTTAAGATTATAAGGATGAAAAGAGTAGAGGTGATCCACATCTGTGCTTCCCAGGATCCTTTTCAGAAGGTCAGATTTTGCCCATTATAGTGAGCAGCATGAAAAATAATCCCATTGGTTTAGTGGAGTTACTCCACATGTTCAGTGAGCTAAATGAAGTCAGAACTTAGACCAGGTATTGTAAGTGCTTCATGTTGTTTTTTTCTTTGATGGGCTTGTGGTCATGGCTGATTAAACAGAATGTCTCCAGCTCCCATCCATCTGTGAACCTCTTTCCAGTTTTAGCTTGTTAACACTGTAGTTCTGCATCATCTCTGAGGTTTGCAAACTTCTCCAAATTCAGCAACATTGCTTGGTTGTATTGTCTGTCTTACCAAAGCATGAAACAAAGAAAGCTCCCCTCAAACAATAACCACCAGAATTTACCCAGAATTATTCACATTTAAAATGGGAACTCTGAAATATCAGAACTACAAGCATTCAAGTGTTTCCATGGAAGATAATCAGGATGTTGGACTTGCTAATAATTTTGTAGGTGTTCAAGCTATGAAAGGACCCATATGGTCCTTTGCAGTTCTTACTTCTGTTACAAAGTGATGTCTGTCTAATTTCAGCAGTGTTGGCTGTCCTAGATGCCTTCAGAATAGCATGTGCTGTTCCCTATGCTGTGAGTCTTGGGATTGTAGCCCAGCCAGTGCTCCCTGTACTTTCCCTACACCCCGAGCCCTCTGTATCCTTCAAACTGGGAAAGTTTCACATCAGAAAGGTCGTTAGAGAAATTTGCCCAGCTCTGCTTATCAGCCTTGGTCCCTCTGGACCACAGGAGCTGCAGATGTGTTTCTGCTCGTATCTTCCCACTCTGCCATGTCCCAGAGCTACATGACGGGGGAGCTGTTCAGGGTGTCGTGGTGCAGTTTTGCCTCCAGCTCTGTGCTGAGCAGATCCAGCCATCTGCAAAGAATCTACAGTTCAAGACACGCTGGTTCCAGCATATGTGAAATCACAGGCAGTCAGGAGGAGTGGATGCAGTCTGCATTGCCACATGCCTGGGTGCACTCATAGAATTGCATAATGCAATGTTGTGAACCCTCTCTTCTCAGACAATGTGTTTTAGATATTGACTGCACAGAAGGTCAGCTTGTGCTAGAAAAACAAACAGGCTGCTTTGCTTAGCACAGCAGCACAGGGAGGGCTGGGAATAGGCTATGGCAGGAGATATTTTGCCTTGTTAATCATTGTTCCTGTGATGTGGTCAGAGTATTTCAACCAAGCTTTTAGCAGGCCAGACCTGATGTGCTTTTTTTTTTTTCATAGGGTGATGTGTAGAGGCATTAATCCAGATTGGCTTCTGATGACATCAGTCATTACATAGGCACTTCTCAGGCCAAACCACTGTCTAAGGGCATGAGACGTATGGGTAAGAGGTGGATTGTGCATGAGGACACAGTGCAGCATGCAGGAACCTCTGTTCCACGTGGCTTCCTGCCTGTCCTTGTGAGAATCCTGGGTGCATCAAGGCAGCTCATGTGACTCCCTGATAAAGTGTTAATTGATTTCAAGCAAATCTCATAGAAAGGAGAAGATATTAGAGAGAATTAAATCCCTACCTGCCTGGGGAAGATAACCTTATGATGAAAGTGTCAAGCTGTAGCATGAACTCATTACTGATCAGACACCAAAGAGAAGTTCTCATCAATGTCCCACCCATGAGAAGGGCTTTGTTTGGAGCACACAGTTAACCACAAAATCCAAATTGCTCTTTGCTCACAGAATTACTTGACACATCGGAAAGGTTCCACAGGCAGCCCAGCCAATTGTGTTAGGCCACATGCCCATTCGGAGATAAAGTGGAAATGAATGGCTGTTCCCTCAGTCATCCAGGCTCTTGCAGTCAGCACAAGAGGACATCCCCAAGCAGAGAATCTTTGCTCCCAGAGAAGCAGTCAGGAAATACAGAGAGGTATTAAAAGTGCAGTTATGCATTAGCAGCTGAACTGAGAAAAGCACACAGGGTTTGTCTGCACCTGGAGCAAGGGAAAAATATCCATGAGGACTGCAATGTGTCAGGTGTGTAGGGACTTGTTTGCCTTACAGAGTATTGCCAAGGGTCTTAGGCTCTAAATATACAGGGTATTTTGCTAAATGGAAGCAGGTAGTTTGACACAGCCTTCCCTCACTGGGGACACAAGAAAAGCAGAAAGAAAGGGCTTAATTAAGGCATAATTTATTTTTCTCTTCTGCAGAGGCTATTGCTATTCTGTGAGACACATAAAGCAAGACACAGAGAGGCACAGAAACCGTGCTGCCAGGGAAACCTGACTTCTGTTCTTGTTTCCTTGCTTCCTTTAATCCCACATACAGCATCCCTGCTGAGAGCAGGCTGGTGGAAGCTGGTGAATAATGGAGAGGCAGAACACTTAGCCAAGTCATCCCAACGGGCATCTGCTGCACAGAGAGTATTGTTATTTAACCCTTTATTTTTAATAGGTGATTCAAAGATACATACATGAGGCAATTATATGCAGAGAAATCAAAGAGGTACCACAACAACAAGAAATAAAAATACCAGGAGATGCAGAATAGTTACTGTGGGGTTTTCCCTGGAGTAGTATTTTCTAAGATGAAGTGACAGTTGTAAGCATGTGAAGGCAGCCTTTTTTTTTCCTGGACAGATGAGCAATGCTATTTAACTTGTGTGAATTAGGGAGAACACTGCTGAGCAGTGCCTCACATCAACCTCCTGTACCAGCACCCTGCTGGAAGAGACATTTTCTTCCCAGGAAACACAGATGTCCTGGTGAATTAAGTGAAAATAGTGCAGGCAATCAAAGATATAAAAATATGGGGTGTTTCCTTGATGGGAGGTGTGAAGGAGGTGAAGCAGTGTGGAGAAAGCACATGCTTCCAACATGTTTTAAAGAGAATCTGTATTGTAGAAAGTGAATTAAAGAGAGAATTCTGCCAAGAGAGTGAGGTGCTGCTGCAGGCTGGGTCTGGAGTCAATGCACTCCCTGGGGATCGCGACATGGCACTGGGAGAGGAATGCAGTCCTGGCTTCCCTTCTGGTTGTGCGAGATCTGTAGCTTTGGGCATATCTCACAGGTGATCTTGTGATCTCCTTGTAAGCTGGGGCTGATAAAACCTGCCTGGCTCTTTCCCCAGGTTTCTGGAAAGGTTCATTATTTCATTAGCAGTATTTTTTCCTGATGACTCCTATTTAGAGGAACTTTGAGAGGTCCAGGCTGGGCCCTGCACTGGCTTTAGGGACAAGTGCTCCTCAAAGCCTTGCAGGACCCAGGACAGACAGGAAGGAAAGAAGGACAGCTGGTGTCTACCTTCAGCTGTGGGTTACTGGCAGAGCTGCCAGTGGGTGCAGCTCTTTCATCTGTAGCCTGTGAAATGCTCTGCAAGTGTGAAATGATAGAAGAAACTGTTGACCCTGAGCATCAGGAAAGAGACTGGACTAGCTCATCCCCACATGACTGGGCACTCCCTTCTGGCTGTTACCTGGGATCATGATAGCAAAGAACAGGAGCGTAGTCAGGGAATTGCAGGAGAAGGCTCTGACCTGAGCTGTCCAGGAGATGTGTGCTGGATGACCAGGACAGCTCCCTTCTGTTCCCAAGAGCTGGGAAAACTTCAGTGGAAAGCAGTGGAGCTTACCCGCAGTCACTGAGGTTCTCTCAGGGATGGGCAGCAAGTAGGACTGTTAGTGCCATCCCCTGAGCCTTGAGGTGACCACCAGTGAGCAAACAGCTACCCGACGGTATTGCATAATTCTGCCTTTTCTCCCAGTCCGGGAAACCACTTGAGTAAGAAATCGAGCTGGTTGAGCCATTGTGTTTATTGCTACTGGTTGTGGATTGCAGCCACCACCCGGGCAACAGAGCCCCTCAGGCTGTAAATCCCTCCCCACCCTCCCTTGTGCTGGGGGTGCCGGGGCAGGAGCGGGGTTCGCAGCAGGGCCCCCTCACCCGCACGGGTACAGCTGGCGGCTCAGCAGGGACGGGACCTCGCCGGGTCCTCCCCGGTGCTCTGGTGCCCTCTGCAGCCGGGCGGGACGCGGGGCTGCTCCGCGGGCGAACGCAGGGCAGGCAGAAACGGGACGGTGCCGGGACACAGCTCTTACCATGGGGTGAACTCAACACGCCGGTGTGCCGGGGCTGAGAAGGGAGAGTGCAGCCACGGAGAGTGCCCGTGCGTGTGTGCGTGCACGGGGCTGGGGGGTGACGGTAGCTGCGCTTCTCTCTTCCCCTTTATTCTGTGTTTTCTCCACCCCCGTCCATGAATTCTGAAACATACAACACAGAGAGCCCCCCCCCCCGTGCTGTAACTGAGCCACATGCAGGACAGATAAAGGACCTGCTTTCTTTAAACGTGCATAAATCAAGAGCAGCCCCCCTTGCAGCCACTGGAATAACAATGTTGAGGTAGGTGATGCTCAGATGCATGGTTAGTGAGGCCACAGTAGCTATTGTCCATGCAAAGTAAGTGAGAGGTAAGGGTATCAAGGCACAGAGGTGCTCAGTTGGCCCTGACCTGACTTGCAGTGCATGTCATGCACGTCACCCCATGTCCCCTCCCTCTGTAAATACCACTCATGCATTTTCCCAAGCATTCTCCCATGCTGTTGCTATTTTTAGCCTCCACACTCCACTGAAGAGGCTCTCTGGCACCCTCAGGTATTTCATGTGACTGTGTGAACTCCAGCAGCGCGCACTTCGCTATCTTCATCTTTATAACAGGAACAAGTCCTCAAAGACTCGCTCTTAAACTTCCGGTTCAGGCTTCTTCCTAAAAATAGTGCTTAGATTGCATGTGGGCTGGAGACATGATTTCATACCTGCTATTCCTGGAGCATTTTCCTGACAATGAGCACCGCCGGTTATAACCCTCCTAAACACACTTCCTTGAGGAGACTTGGAAAAGATAAATGAGGGGTGTGATGTTGCAAGCCTGAGGTTGCTTTGTCAACAGGGAAGAGGCTCTTTGTCCCATCCCATGCTGTGATAACCACTGAGGAAAAGTGTTATTGATCCAGGTATTCCAAGAGACCTGGCGTTCCCACCACGCCTGTTCTACATGTGTCTCCTCACACTGAGGGTGGTTTCTATTACTCCTTTCTTACCAGAGCATACATAATAGCTTACATAGTAGCTTCAAGTCTGTCAGCTGCATAACTCAGCCCCTCATACTCATCTGCCTGGTCCCATTACTTATGCTTAGTGTTACAGTGTTTTCACTTAAAAGCCCCATTTCCATGTAGGAGTTGTGTGGTTTCATGTGGTTTCATGGGGTTTTCACCTCAGCTTTCACTTTAATAACAAGAAAATAAGCAAATTCTTCATGACTGCAGAAAAGAAAAAAAAGAAGCTTGCAGGTCTGGTGCTGGATCCCAGGAGAAGGCGGCAAAGAACACATTTTTATGGAAGACTTTTAAAGGTAGCTTCCTATTACTTTTCAGGTGTTTGAATGCATGTGTTTAACAGGTCATACACATAGTAATAGGTTAGGAACTGAGGCACCAAGCTTCATGAAACTGGAAGATGATTGCAGGGATGGAATCAAGTTACCTTGAGTCTTAAATCCAGCTTTCCCACAGCTGCCCTGCTGGAAAGGGAACTGTTACTTTATGGCAGTGAAAGATGTTATTTGCAAGACTTGCTTGGCCTTGATGAGCAAAGCAGAACATTGGGCGTTAAATTGCAACAAAACCTCAATTCTGTAACAAAATGTCATCTCTGTGTGGCAGAGAAACAAAGTTGTTACAGAGCTGGAAGCCTCTGAAGTGGTGACTGATGGCTTCATTGTGTTGGGGCAATTTCTGAACACAATTCCTCAATACTTGCTGGAAGAACAGTGTTTCCACTCTTCCCTAGGCCAGGAGCCAGGCTGGTCTTTCCCAGAAGTGATGAAAATGAGCAGCGTTAGCTGGAACGCTCCTGACACTTTCCAGCAAAAGGACTCTTCCAGTACAGCCCCACCAAACAAAAGCGCATTGTTCACAGGCCCATACAAATCCTGCTGCAGATGTCAAGTGAGCAGCTTCAAAAGGAGGAACCATGTTCTGATAGATGCCAGTCTCTCGTCACCATCTGGCTGCCATCACGCTCTGAGGCTTCACAAGCAAAGTGTATCAAGACAGGCCTAGAAAGCTGTTCATAATGTGTCATTTCCTTCCTCTTCCTCTCCCAGGGCAGCAGTTCACATGTGGCCTAACTGACCTTTGCTCTCTGAAGGGATCAGAGATAAAGGCTGACAGAGGTGTGTACTTAGGGAAAGAAAGCACTCAAGACTTACATTTGTTTGTTTTTCTGGGGCTGGTGGTGTTCTGTGAGTTGATTCTTTCCGCATTAAAGTGGGGAAACAAAAGATGTGAGAGGTTTGTCTCCCAGCCTTGCCGAGCTCTTTCACACTCACTGCTGCTGCTGACAGTGCATGCGAGCTGATCTCCACTCACAAGAAGCCAGGGCGCTAATGGGACAGAAAATCCCACCCCACTCAGTTCCCTCTGTAGAGCTGACACATGCTGTGTGCAGCAGGGTGCTGTCATGGTGCAGGGTGGAGGTGCTGCAGGAGTCTTGCCTCCAAACCCAGGCCAAGCAAATCCCTCTGCAAACACACCCTTGTGGGTTTATGACCTGCTAAAGAGCCACTTTCTCCACTGTGACCTCAGACTCTGCCTTGGTGCATAAACATGGGCTTCCTCACCAGTCTCCTTTCCCAAATGTCCTCAGAGTGGAAATTCTGCCCCTTCAGCTGGTCTGTAGGAGAAGCTTGACAGCTGCAGCCTCACAATACCTTTTGAGGAAAGGCAGTAGTAGAACCATTGTACCTACTGAAAAGTGAGGTCAGGAATACACTCCTGGATCTGGTCCCATGGCAGCTGACACCAAGCACGTGAGATGCAGAAGAACAGAGATTTGCTACCCCAGGATGCTGTAGTTTTGGACACATTTCTCTTGTTCACAAGCGATTTCTGCAGTTACAAGCAGGTGGCACCTTGAAGCTTGACAACAAAGAGTTCACCGGGGTTTTTCAGAGCTGTGACCCAGGGGCCGTGCCCGGAAGGAAGCAGCTGCGTCCGTTTCCATCGGAGGCAATTCCCACTTCCCACCAGGTGAGCAATAGCGTGTGCCACCGGCAGAGAGCACTGCACACCCAGCAAGGGCGCTGGGAAGGAGGATTCTCCCGGCTTTTCCCGTCGGATGAATACAGCAACAAGTGAAACCAGTCCCGGCTTTTGAGGAGAGGTTGAACAGATCCCAGCCAGGGTCAGATGTGAAAGTAAAAGCTCATTAGGATACACACAAGTTCAGGGCTGTAGCTGCACTCCTCTGAAGTGTGGCGGGCAGTGTAAAATGCTGAGCCTATCTTTAAGATGATTCAGGTTTAACGTTGATTCAGGTACTTTGATAGCTCTTGACTTTGGTACAGAAATAGAGGTCTTGTTCTCAAACATTTCTTCAGAAATATAATACAGTTCTGCTCCTCCTGCTTTGAGATGAGATCCATCTCAGATAATTTTCCTCTGGAAATTGAGCTTTCAAGAGTGTTGATTCTTGGTGTGGAATCACAAGACTGGTGTGCTGGAAGAGCAGAGGAAACCAAGGCAGCAGCAAAGCTAGATCTGTGATGAGTGGAGCAGTCCCTGCAGACCTGTGTTGACATTTGCTGTGTTCTGAGGTGCCAGACAGCCGTGTGCTACAGGGACCATCTCCCCACAGCAGGGAGGGAAGTCACATTCTGAGTCTGACTGCTCTTTCCCTTGGAGTCACTTTCTGTGCCTCATTTATTTACCTGTAAGTGAGGGATTTTGTTCGCTGTTCACAGCTTTGTCTCTTTCCTGTTTAACTTGGGGATCTTTGGACCAGAGAGATGTGTTTATTAAAGGCTTGGATGCTGCTGAATGGCTCTAATGGGGATAATTCAAACATTTACAGATTTCCATAAACATTCTAAACACTGTTATCTTTACATTTCTCAATAGATGCTGCTGCCTTACATTATGATTAAAGTATGGTTTGAGATAATTGGTTATTCAAAATACTAAATAAATACACAATCACATCTGCTGGTGAAGCCAAGAACTGTCACAGAGTTAAGAAAAAAACTAGACTAAACAACCCTCAGCACCACTCTTCTGATGAATTACTAGACAGAACTGATACTAAAAAGAGGAAACCATTCTCTATACAGGATATTGCACAAAGCATCCTTCCAGCTGATATCTAAGGATCTCTGGTGAGGGGAATCTGGGGTCTGGTGCTGGCTTTGATTTCTGGGGCAAAGAACTCCATAGGGCAAGGGCAGTGTGAGAAGTTCTGCATCCACAGAAATGGACATCTTGAATTCATTTCTTTTGGAGGCTGTTGCCAAAAGAACTCCTGATCTGGCCTGTGGACATTGTGCAGACAGTAGCAGCTTTGTTTAAATCCAACCTTCTAAGTCTGATTGTGCAGATTAGCTGCAAAGAGACCCTTCCTGGCCAGGCTCAGGCTGCTGTGCAGTGTGAGTTCCACTGCAGCACTGAGTGTTAGGCCACGGCAGGTCATTTCTGATGCGAGGTGGCTCAAGCCTTTATCTCAACAGGGTCACATCAGTAGATGCAACACTTGTCTTGGCTGAATGCCTTTCTGGCCGGTCTTCTCCAAACACAAGCCCATAGGCAGGTCAGTCCCCTGCCAGCTTCCCTCCTGTCTCATGAGCCAGTGGACACAGTAAATAAACATTGTGTTGCCACATGGTGTCTCTGCTTCCCCTGGGACACAGTTGCTACCTCTCCCAAAACAATGTTGTCCTGCCAATCAGAGCACAAGTGCTAAGCTTTTCCCAGGCTCAGGAACCAAACCTGGTGGTCAGTTGGCACCAGCATGTTTGAGTTACACACAAACACATGTGGATGGAGGCACACATCCCACGTCAAGCCATAGTGCAGCACAATTGATACATCAGTCTTCCCTTTCTTTACTGCAAGTTTTTCTTTGCTGTGAATGTGACTCATTAGGACCTGGCCATTCATTGATCACGTTGCTGGCATGATGTACTCTGCTTATTCAAGATGTTATGTTGAAGTGTAGTCAGGAGAGGCTTCTCTAGGTAGCGGGTCAAACTGTTTGGCAGTGGCCTTGCTGGGGTCTCTAGGCCTGGGGTAGTTCCTCATCTGCCCCTGTTCTTGGAGGGAACCTTAGTTTAGAAATGTCAATTGCCTGACCAAACCCAGAACAGCTCTCTGCACTGGGATAGCAGCAAACAGACACCTCAGTCTTGTGACATGCCACATCAGGAGCAAAGTTCTTCCCAAACTAAGGTTTCTCACTCCTGTTATCAACGGTGGACCTTGGATTTTTTTCCTAATTTTTTTCCTTTCCCCTGATGCAATAAGATGAAGCAACCTCTTAAACCTTTCCTCTGGATGTGGTCCTTCTGCTGGGACCACAAGGAGTCAGTCAATAACGAATAGTCCTACCGGAGCACAGCCTAATGGCTACTGTGCAGGAGCACAGGGACGTGTGAATTTACACTGCTAATAGTACACAGCCATATAGTGTTTTCATATAATTACAATTTAATTTTTCCATCCTGGAATTTATTCTGGTACAAGACGCTTTTCTACAGTGGCTGTTATGTCATTTGAAAGCAGATTAAGAAAGTCTTCCCAAAGAGGTGCTTGTCTTTTGGAGCAGGAGGTAACAGAGAAGGAGGTAGCATCAGTAAAATCTTAGTGCTTCAGTTGTATGGTATAACTGAAAAGGGAATGTGTTTCCATAGGTCTCTGACCTGATGAGCTTTTTGGTTTGCCATGTATATGTAGCACAATGGGATTTCTGTGGCCTGACATGATTGAAATAGTAACAAAAAGCCATAAAAAACTCGTTTTGAGTTGTCCCAGCACTGGATGTGAGCAGAGCTGCTCCTCCCCAGCTCAGCTTAGATTTTGAAGCCCCCTCAGCTTTGAAATATTAGTTACTGCAGGTTTAAAATCATATGTAGTGCACAAAAATGCATTCATTTACAGGATCCCTCTTCATGTGTTACAGCAACACATCTTTTGTGTTTTGTTTTTTTTTAGGAGTCCAGTTTCCATAACTTCCTGGCAGTAGGAACATTACTCCCTTAGCCAGGAAGCAGATCACCTTTCCTCTCCTAGGGATCCAGTGCAAAACAGTGCCCCAGCCTAACAAGTGAGACCTGTTCCATAGCTGCATTTACAGCACAAGCACCTCTTCTGACCTCATGTTAGAAATGCATAATATCTGCCTATTCAGAACTTCTGTCTGGAATTCTGCTAGTTATACATAACCCTGCTGATATCCAATACTGTTATAATGACTTACACAAAGTTAGTGATTGCTTATCTGAAGTTTACACTGGCCTCCTTTGTGTTCCAGTACATCAAGAATCAAACCTGTTCTGAAACAGCTTATTGCAGCTGAATGTGTGCTGGGTTCATGGTGCTGGTAAAACAAAATCATCCTGTGTGGGAGCCAGCCTGATACATCAGCCCCATCTGCTTTGCTTAGGTGGCTCTAATCTGGATAAAGTTTCTGCCTGACATCTTTGCCAGATTTCCCATGGGATCTTACACAACCTCTGGCCTTTAGGAGAATATTGCAATATGTGAGGAAAAGAGATCATGGAATTCATGCCCCCCATTTCTAATCTATTCCAATGGAAAACTTTATTCAGTATTAAAAAAATGACTCACACAAACACTTTCCAGTGTTCTCAGTCTGTCCCAAAGTAGTTCAACTAAAATGCTGTATATGAACACAGGCTTCTGCCTGAAGTTCCACTTTTCCCTGGCCCTTGCTCCTCCCTCCTGCAGCTCCACCCAGTGCTGCAGGGCAGCCACTTAAGCAGAGGCCACTCTGTCCCCTGGCTCCCAAGGCAGGCAGGCACTGGAGCCAGACTGCGAGCTGTCCCTGCACCTTTGGGCCCTCCTGCTCCTTGTCTGAAGGCCAGAAGGATGGTTTGTGGGGATGGAGCTCACAGGAAGCTACGTGGAGCTGGATTTTCAGATGAAAATCTGTTTATTCTCATGGTATTTACACTGTGAGAATTCAAGCTAATAATTTTGGTGCCTGCATGAAAGAGACTTTGGCAGTTAAAGCACAGACTTTTCCAGGGCAGCAGAATATGGGATTTCCTTTGGAAATGAGAGGAGCACGTTGTCTGAAATGCTCCTTCCTGCTTACTCTCCATAGTCACTCCCAGTCACAGCTGCTTGCTAAGGACTGGGCTGTAAAAGGATCTGTCTGCCCAGCCTGCCTGAGCCAGAGTTTACTGCAAAACAGAAAGCACCCAACTCCATGCTTGTCCCTTCCTGGATCATGGCACAGGGGCTTTATTGTTAGCTCAGGTTGCCTTTTTTCTTTCCTTTTTTTCCCTTTTGCCTTTTTCCCTGATTCTCCTTGACAGCTGCCACTTACAAAGAGCTCAGGGGGAACTGGTACCAGCTGGGAATAGGCCTAATTGCAGTCAAGCCCAAATTGCATCCTCCTGAAGAAGATCCTTCCCTACACCTTTAATCCTTCAGTTCTTCCCACCCAGCCTTTATTAGGGAAGGGCTTCCCTGGGGAATGTCCCATTTTGTGTTCTCCATGAGACCTGCTTCTCCATAGATGCTTCTCTGCTGACTGCATGCTGGTTCTCACTGATCCCCAGACCTGCCTGCTGCAGCTCCTCTGTAAGTCATTTGTGGGTTTTTATGCTTCTGGAAATGTTATTATCAAAGTTTTAACTAGCTTCAGTCCTTAAAGTTTGTGCTGCTCAGGCATCCAGGTCTGTCAGGAAGCGCTATGAGCAAGGATAATGCTACAAGGGATACCAGCAGCTTTGTAACTTATCTATCATGGCACTTCTCAACCAGGATTAATGTCCTAAAGATACCTGACTCTGTCAACCAAGGCTTGAGACATAGGTGTCCTAGAACAGGGTCACGTGTTACAGTGATACTAGGGCTTTACTGTGCTCAGGCAGAGGAACAGAGCAGGTTAGTTAATACTCCACATAGTACAACATGCCCCCAGTAGAAACATCTGTTCTATAATGCTGCATGGATTTAATAAGCAGTAACAATAAAAATGAAAGCCCATCAGCCTTTCTAGTAGCAGTGCCCAGCCACAGAGGAAATGGCCAAAATCCTCCTCACTGAATTACAAATTGCCACTTTGCTCCTGCCTGTTTTGATTTCCTCTATTGCCCTTGTATCCTCAACACCCTTTCCTTTAAAAAGAGCTTCTGGGCCAGTGAGTCTCAATCATTTATTTGTGTCTTTCTCTCTTCCCTCGCATTATGTTTCCGCTCCTGCCAGGAAATTCTGCAGGCTCTTGCATCATCCTTCTCGTGTTAATTGCCTTTGCTGCCTGCCCTGGGGAGCTGTGTTCCGGTGTGGTGCTGTATTGCAGGACAGCTTCTGGCTCCCTCTGCTCTGTTCCTGTCAACTTTGTTGGCTCTAATACCCAGAGCACGCCTCAGCAGAGGATTGCAAAAGGATTTGTAGACATTAATTACATTCACCACAGAAATACTTGCCACGCAGAGCATGTTTCTAGATGGCTGTGACCGGATCTAAACCCGCTTCTGCTCAGCCCCAGCTAACAGCCACCATCACCGCAAAGGTGCTGCTTTGCTCACTTCAGATTTTCTCTTTATGAGACATTTTTAATGAGGCCAGACTGGTTGCAGCAAAGTGTACTTCAGTTCTCAAGCCACTTCCACCCATCTTAATAACATTCTGGGGTACAGGTTATTCCCTTCACTCCTACTTTACACTCAAGGGTAATGGCCTTGGCAGTTTCTGTGTGATGTTCTAAGGTTGTAGAAGAATTATTTCCTTACTCGGACAGAGCTAAGTACATACTTTAAAATCACAACCGTCTACACCCATCTATTTAATCTTTGCTGATACAGTGATGCTGGTGAAGAGGTGCTTTTTGGTTTGGGGTCTCTGATGGGACAATGCAAATGAACCTCCCAGCAGAGAGCACAGCGTGCAGTGCTCGAGCTGATCTGAGTGACTGTTAAGATATGGAAGCTCCCTTGCAGAAAACTCTGTGCCTGGTTGCTGTTCTTCACTCATATCTATGTTCAAGTTGAGAGATGTTCTAGGGGACAGAACTTACAGTTCTTCCTTTACGTGGGCAGTGTATGAGAAGCCATGTCTTAACCATATATATATATTTAGAATAAACAGAGGGAAATTCTTGCTTTAATTAGGTAAAAAATATTGTGCCAAAGGAGTGAGTCATGGAGTAGCCACATGTGCACTTTCTGTGTCTTTGCAAGCCAGGTTTTAACCCCTGAGGAAGTTGTGTCCATTGTTCTGGAGTACCTTGGAAAGTGGAAGTTGATTTTTGGTGTTTGGAAACAGCAGGCAGGGAAATCTTCCTGGAGAGTAGGGCTGGGGCTCACCAAAACAGCACACAGGGAGAGCAGGGAGTGAAGAGCCAAGGCCAGGGTATGCCCCTGGACAGTCAGTGACCACCAGTCCAAACTCCATTTCCCACAGAGCAGGGAAACATGAGCACCATGTCTGCTTTTGACCTCTGCCCACATAACAGGTTGTGAGATCTCACTGTAGCTCACAGTGAGTTTCACCATGATCAGTGTGCTCTCTCCTGAAAAGGAACTCTGGAGGGTTCTGCAGCAGCAGATCCCCACTGCAGCTGCTGCAGGTGGATAGTGTTGATCCATCAGTCACCAGACAATGTCAGGAAACTTTTTATACAAGTTTTTAATAAAAAAGTCCAACAAAAAAATATATAATGAGGCATTTTCTGCAATGCATACATTCTTTGTATCTGCAGGTACAGATAAATAACAGAAGGCAAAACCAAGTATTTTGCTTATCTTTGGCCATTAACCAATAATCACCCTGAAGAGGTATTACAGGGTTGAAGAACAATAAACCGAGTCTGTAACTTCTCATTACAGACCAAGCATCAGGCAATGATACAGTAGTTAGATTTTCAGACATGTAAGGAAAATTGCTTTAACACTGCCCAATACTGAATTTAACCTGGTTTGCTGCTATAGAACTTAAAGCCTTCTTGAGCTGATACACAGCCAACATTCCTGGGTTACATTAGATGTACTCCAACCCTTCTCTTTCCTACTTCCCCTCACCATACACTGCACTAAAAGCCAGGCTGTACCTTCTCATGACATCAACCAGCATGAATTCTATCTGGATCAGTTTCCTCAACCAATGTACATAAGGAAGCTTAACTGCTCTCTGCCTATAAGTCAATACTTTTCTAGCTCAGTGTCCCAGGAAATAGCTATCCCTCCACTTTACAGCACGGATGCAACTGATGGCTCTATCAAAGCAATATATACACGATACACATTAAAATCAAAAGCAATTTTTAAAGGTACATTGCTAACATGTAGCAGCTTATGTCTATATATGTACATGTTTTCACAGTTTAGAAAATTGAGAACACCAGGAATACTTCTACTGTGTTTTCTATAAATAGTAAAAATTTACCTGTCAGGCATTTTGACAAAATAGGATTTAGGTATCACTTTAAATAGCTCTTGAAAACCTGTAGAGTTTTAAGCTTAAAGGCTGTAAAGTCTGAGGCCTCTTCAATGTGTTCAGCCAGTTTCAGCAGCTGGGCCGCCTGCCAGTTTGATTTGAATGATTCAGATCTGGTAACAAAGGAACTCCACCACCTTGGATGGGAGGGGCAAGTTCTTGACCTGGGGGGTGGGCATCACTCTGCGAATAGCCATGCGACACAGATGCTGGAGACTGGAAACTTGTCTTGGAGTTGCCCAGAAATACACGCTGCCATCCTGTGTCCTGCACAGAAACAAAACCCACCAGGATTATCCCACCTGCATGATTTTAGCTTAGTACAAATGCTCTCCTACGTTGCTAGTTAGGGGGAAGGTGCTCTGGGCTCTCTGTGCTTGGTTCTGGCTGTTCCACCTCAGTTATACTAGATGCCAGTTCTTCATTTAAGCTACAGCAGCACAGTAAGCCACTTCTGATTATCTGTGTGACAGGCCTGAGCAGATCCTCCAACAGCTACTGAGGGCATCACCTGAAACAGAGCAACTGCCCTTGATTATCTACTGGTCTCTTGCCAATCCACATGTTTGTGGCTCTGTCCCTTATTTATTCTCAGAGATAAGAAACAAGTTTATCAGCTTCTTGATTTTACTGCTATTCCAGGCATGTTTAAACAAATAGTACCAGAAATGCAACCTGGTGCTTCCGACCTGGTTTTCAGTTGTCAAAACTGAAGATGTTTACAACACTTTGCCAATGTTCCCAACCTTCAATGTTCCCAACCCTCTGTTCTGTACTACCTTAATATTTTAGGAAGGAAAAACCCCAGTATATGCTTACCCTGCAGCTAGAACACTGCCATCAGTAGAAAAAGTACAGCAGAGCCCATTGTTCAGAGGTGCAACTTGTACAGGGTATTCTTCATCAATTCTCCAGAATCTTACCATTCTGACAAGGGAAGAGCAAATGAATGAGTTATCAGAGTAGATGTTTAATTCAGTATTTCCTCTCATAATTCACGAGTCTGCAGCAGAGCTCAGGGAATGTTTATAAATACTTTCCTATACCCACAAGGTGTTTCAGATTTGGCCTGAAAAACTATGACTTCTTCATTCCTGATACAGACCTTGATCTGTGTTTCTGCAACCATTTCAACACCACCAGTTAGAATAAGACTGCCCTCAAAGCTGAAATCCAGTTCTCCCAATACTACTTGCAGTGTTGGTGGAAGATTGTGAGATCACAATACTTTTTACTTTGGAATCTACTACTATACAAAAGATTTATATGCACTAGTAACTCCATCTACTTTTTTCACTGCTTACAACCCCTCTCTTCCTGGTTTAAGCTATTACACACTTGAGTTATTCAGGTCCTCTACTCTATCCACGTCTTTCTACATTCAGAATGAACATTAAATACACCAGACAACTCAGCTACTTTTACCAAGTCCATTAGAAGTCGTTTCTCCCTTAAACCCCAAAAAGCTGACTTAGTATTTAAGTTCATATCATCTGGGAATAATTAGAGGAGTAAAAACCTTTCCTCATACTTACTTATCATCAGCCAGGCTTGCAATGTGTAGTCCATCGTGACTAAAAGATACTGATCTGACCCACCGGTCATTTGCACCTCCAGCAAATATTGGAGTAGGAGGAGGAAACAGATGCCTGGAGACAGAGAGACACTGAGTTAGTGGTGAAATGCTTAAGGACTAGGAAGTGTTTCCTTCAGCCCCGGCTAGCAAAGCTGAGGAAGAAAAACCAGACTGATTTCTCCTATATGGAAACTATAGTTTTATGGTACCAAACACTTCAGCTTTGTTGAAGATGCTTAAATTAGCACACGTTAAAACATCAGTGCTTTCACATTCCTTCTCAGATAGAAAGATGATCTTCACTGCTCTGACATTCAGGATTTCCATCAGCTGCTGCTTGATTTTTCCCAAGCCTGATTTTCAGTTAAACACATAAATCCATTCATTTTCAGGAGTCATCTCCACCCCAGAAGAAAGTTCCCAAATTTGATTGCTTCACTTACCCAAATTCCATAAGAATAACTCCAGTATGTGGATCCCAGACATAGACTCGGGTATCATAAGATGCGGTAGCCAGTAAAGCTCCATCAGGAGAGAACTCACAAGCTACAACATCATTGTGATGTCC